ACACGGAGCTAACTCAATGATTCAAACATGGGTTAATGATTAGAGGGAACTGAGTTATTTAGTTTGTTAAAGTTTCAGCCATTCTGTTCACAGTTCTGTCATCAGATTATTTAATATGATTTGTTAAAACGTTGTTGTTTCTGTTGATGTGAAATATTATGCATTTCATTTAAATAAAAAGCAATGTTAGTTTTGTTCACAATTTGTTAATTTTCATTTAATCGTTTATTTGAATAGGGACAATGCACATTAATGAACACTTTAGACAAATAATGCTTCAAGTAGGGTGACCAGGTGACAGAAAGCCACAAGTGGGACAGAGAGTATATTTGTGTGGGACAATGTGGGACATGTAAATGTAATGTTGACGCATGAACTGTCAACGGGGGGGGGGGGGTACACTGTGGACCTCTGTCGCCTGTCAGCGCAACTTACATAATGCCGTTTAAAACATAATCATAATGGCAGAAAAGCGTTTTGGCCAATCAAAATGAAATATGCGGGACATCGTCTCAATTTGCGGGACGCACCAAAAGTCGTGAAAATGCTGTGCAGTCCCGCGCAAAGCGGGACATCTGGTCACCCTAGCTTCAAGTGTAAATATGCCGGATTTTAGCTTTGAGCTAATTTCCATCCGTCGTCCCTGACATACAACATATAGTTAGTTTACCTCATTTTTCTCTCCAAAAGAACCGATAAGAGTACCGTTAAAAGACCGGACCGATAAGCGGTATCGATAAAAGTAGTAGTACCGTTAAAACCTTAACGATACCCATCCCTAGTGATGTCATAACGATATTTTGGCTTGTGTAACTATTAGCCAATCACCAACCAAGGTAACCTTGGTTACCACCTTATCACCTGAATCTCCTCCTAGATCACCATTGTGTTCTTTTTAACCAAATATCTCTCAGAGGGGCGTGGGGAGGGGCTCCTTATTTTCATCTAAAGTAACAGACAGAGAATCAGCACTTTGGAAACAGGGCTGAAACAGAGGGGATTATGGGATGCTGCAATGATCTGTTTGGTGTTTGGAGCCAAACACTTCAGAGACATGTTTGTATTTATCTGAGACCTATAATATATTGATGAAAAACAGTATAATAGGGGACCTTTAATGGCTGGATGTGTGAGGCCTGATTCAGGACACAGACCACCATGGATTCCCAGAGGGGGAAACTAATGACAAACATCCTGCTCCACCTCCTTGCATCACAGCTGCTCCTTATTCTCACTCTCACTCCTTCCTCCTCCTGAGAAAAAGTCTCTTTACTGTGACACGGCTGCTGTTGAACCAGAGAAGAGGGCAAGTTTCCCTTTCTAGAGACACGGCAGAGCATCCGCCGCGACTTCCTTGTTGATAATAAATTAATTAATTAAACAGGGAGGTGTTTATGTTGTGTAGGAAGTTAGATTTCAAAATGCTTCAACAAGTGTCTGGGTCAGGCTGTCCGGAAGATAGGGAAGGCAAGTTTGTTTATATAGCATGTTTCAACACAAGGCAAGACATGGTGCATGAAACGCATGATAAAATGACACTAAAATACTATCTAATTTAGAATAAAACAGGTATGAAACACAAGAATTAAAGCTACAGTGCAGTGTAAGATATGAATAGTTATTTGATTTAATAAACGATAGGTACACAGAGAAAATTAGATACTGAAATCCTTCTGTAACTCTTTTCTTGATGGCACTTTGTCATGTGACCGTGCTGTAGTTCCTTTATAGCCCAACATTAGCCGCCTTTAGCTTAGCTGTGGTGACGTGAAGTCATGTGACCGTGCTGTAGTGCCTTTATAGCCCATCATTAGCCACCTTTAGCTTAGCGGTGGTGACGTGAAGTCATGTGACCGTGCTGTAGTTCCTTTATAGCCCAACATTAGCCGCCTTTAGCTTAGCGGTGGTGACGTGAAGTCATGTGACTGTGCTGTAGTTCCTTTATAGCCCAACATTAGCCTCCTTTAGCTTAGCGGTGGTGACGTGAAGTCATGTGACCGTGCTGTAGTTCCTTTATAGCCCAACATTAGCCGCCTTTAGCTTAGCGGTGGTGTCATGAAGTCATGTGACCGTGCTGTAGTTCCTTTATAGCCCAACATTAGCCGCCTTTAGCTTAGCGGTGGTGTCGTGAAGTCATGTGACCGTGCTGTATTTCCTTTATAGCCCAACATTAGCCTCCTTTAGCTTAGCGGTGGTGACGTGAAGTCATGTGACCGTGCTGTAGTTCCTTTATAGCCCAACATTAGTCGCCTTTAGCTTAGCGGTGGTGACGTGAAGTCATGTGACCGTGCTGTAGTTCCTTTATAGCCCAACATTAGCCACCTTTAGCTTAGCGGTGGTGTCGTGAAGTCATGTGACCGTGCTGTAGTTCCTTTATAGCCCAACATTAGCCTCCTTTAGCTTAGCGGTGGTGACGTGAAGTCATGTGACCGTGCTGTAGTTCCTTTATAGCCCAACATTAGCCGCCTTTAGCTTAGCGGTGGTGTCGTGAAGTCATGTGACCGTGCTGTAGTTCCTTTATAGCCCAACATTAGCCGCCTTTAGCTTAGCGGTGGTGTCGTGAAGTCATGTGACCGTGCTGTAGTTCCTTTATAGCCCAACATTAGCCGCCTTTAGCTTAGCGGTGATGTCGAGAAGTCATGTGACCGTGCTGTAGTTCCTTTATAGCCCAACATTAGCTGCCTTTAGCTTAGCGGTGGTGTCGTGAAGTCATCTGACCGTGCTGTAGTTCCTTTATAGCCCAACATTAGCCTCCTTTAGCTTAGCGGTGGTGACGTGAAGTCATGTGACCGTGCTGTAGTTCCTTTATAACCCAACATTAGCCGCCTTTAGCTTAGTGGTGGTGTCGTGAAGTCATGTGACCGTGCTGTAGTTCCTTTATAGCCCAACATTAGCCGCCTTTAGCTTAGCGGTGGTGTCGTGAAGTCATGTGACCGTGCTGTAGTTCCTTTATAGCCCAACATTAGCCTCCTTTAGCTTAGCGGTGGTGACGTGAAGTCATGTGACCGTGCTGTAGTTCCTTTATAGCCCAACATTAGCCGCCTTTAGCTTAGCGGTGGTGTCGTGAAGTCATGTGACCGTGCTGTAGTTCCTTTATAGCCCAACATTAGCTGCCTTTAGCTTAGCGGTGGTGTCGTGAAGTCCTGTGACCGTGCTGTAGTTCCTTTATAGCCCAACATTAGCCTCCTTTAGCTTAGCGGTGGTGTCGTGAAGTCATGTGACCGTGCTGTAGTTCCTTTATAGCCCAACGTTAGCCGCCTTTAGCTTAGCGGTGGTGTCGTGAAGTCATGTGACCGTGCTGTAGTTCCTTTATAGCCCAACGTTAGCCGCCTTTAGCTTAGCGGTGGTGTCGTGAAGTCATGTGACCGTGCTGTAGTTCCTTTATAGCTCAACATTAGCCGTACGTATCATAAACGTTTGTTTGCCACACATCGTTTAAAATCAAATTGAAAAATGTCATTAACCACAGCTATGCTAGGGTCAGCGTACAAAAACACGTCATCACGGCAGTTGAGGCTTATTCTTATATGTGAGTTTGATCCACACTCAGCCTAGTTAAATAAAGATAACAACTTAAAGTAAAAACCCATAAACATATACTTTTTTGACAATGTAGTTGATTCCCTGCCTAATTATACTCAGGGGCCTTACAGTTCAAATGGTGCTGTTAAAATCATCTTTTAATTAGGGAGGAGAAACAGGGAAATACATTCTCCCACACACACACACACACACACACACACACACACACACACACACACACACACACACACACACACACACACACACACACACACACACAAACAGGAAGCTGCAGACGCCTTTGGGTCAATTTAGGCTATTACACTTGTCAATGAATGTACGTCATAAAATATACGCATGTTTTCCCTCTGGCCATTAAAGTTGTTGGTGTGCCGAGCCGTCACTGCAGTGAGTTGTGAGGCTGAGAGCCTGCAGGATGCTGATAGCTCGTGTGTAAAGCAACGTGTTTGTGTGTGCGTGTTCTCTGTGCTGCGTCACTCAGCTCGGCCTCTCTCTCACACACACACACACACACACACACACACACACACACACACACACACACACACACACACACACACACACACACACACACACACACACACACACACACACGTTGCTTTAGAGAGGGAACCTGAAGCTGAATCCTGGCTTCTTTCCCTGGTTTGTTCTCATGTCACCAGGCAAGGAAACCGTTTACAAGCCTTAGTGACTGTCTATTTTGTCTTTATTCAACATGTGCCAACACTGTCTGATTGGTGTTTAAATTGAATCCACAATCAATTTGTTTGCATGCTTAAACCTCCACAACATAATACGAATAGATGAATAGTTTGTGGATTATCAGATTTAACCCTAGCAAGTTAATTGTGATAAAAGCCACAATCTGTAACACATCAAGGGTTATATAATTATAATACAATGTATTAAGTTGTTTTATATACAAAGTTAAGTCTGGAGACCCCCTCCTCTTACAAAGCCTGACTTACACTGCATTGTTATTCCATCTTTAGAGTTGTATTTTATTGTTACTAAATTATTTATGTATTTATTATTATTATTTGTATTTAATTATTTGGCTTTCCTTTCCTTCTGCGAATTGTGTGACCCTGGAATCATAATTTCCTTTCCTTATTTTTCATCTGATCAATTATTGATTAATTTCTAATAATCAGAAGTCTGCCATAACATGAAATATAGAGTTTTGGAGACATGTTTAACCGAGGATATATATGAGCTAAATAATATTCTGGATTCTTGTGCTTTGGTCGTCCTGATTGAGGATTGATCTGCCCCGTTCTGCTTCATTCTAATAATCTAATGTAGGCTAACATAGTAATAATAATAATCACCCTTACTATATTGCTCTTTTATGTTCTCCTATGTTCTTTTCCTCTTCCTTATTAGCATCACATGAAAGCAGTACAAGAGTGCCCTCCACTGGTGAAACATCATACTATTAAAAAAACAGCAACAAATTTCAATTCACAATCATTTATTTTCTCCTCCACAAAGGAGTTAAAAAGTGGGAACAATACAAACAATATGTACAGTGCATTGCTTTCATCGAGTAAACCTACATCTCTGACTGTGTGTGAACAGCGTTGATTGTGAAGCTACATTTTACAACAAATACAATTTAATCATTTTTTGACAATCTTTCAAGTGAGTTCCAGGAACGTTTTAAAACTCAAAGCCAGGATGGCAAGAGCAAGTCATGTTCATTTAAAAAAAAAAAAAGCCACAAAAAAGACAGTTTTTCTCTCAGTCCGCTGCAGAAGAGTCACAAACAGGGAGGGGTTATGCACTGAAATCATACAGTATGGTATACTACATTCTGATTTATTGCTACTGATTATAGGCCAGTTTGTTCTTAATATTGCATTTTGCACAAGTCTGTAGTCTCTCTCTGTCTCTAGTAGTTGTTGTAAGTGGATATGGAAACCTATATATCTATGAATGTGTTCATTAATGATTCCAGCTATTGATTGAAGTGTTTATGTTGATCTGCTTGCGGAGTCAAATAAAGTTGTATTGATTTGAATTGCAACCCCTATAAGATAAAGAGTGAGCAGTGAGCAGCGTAGGTATATTTGTCACTCTTACCATGATTATCCTATTTAAAATATATTAAAAAAGGCAAATCTCTATCTGGTTTCATGTTGATCAGGCAAAAATGTAAAACTAAAAACGATTGTGGGCCAATGCCTCCAATACATTGTCTGCATTTACCTATTGATTGTCCTGCTCCAGCCCTGATGTTGGCAGTGGAGGACAGGAAATACATTCACTCAAGTCCTTAAGTACAATTTTGACATACTTTTTTTGTATATATATATAATATTTCCATTTTCTGAGACTTCTACTCTCCTGCATTTCAGAGGCAAATATTGTATGTTGTACTGCCTAACATGTGTTTGATAGCCTCAATTACTTCATTTAAATCTACATCAATCTACCAAATAATCATTCAATAATTCATCATGAACTTTATTGATCCCATGGTGAGATATAAGCTACCTTTATTTATTACATAATGTATATTGATCTGATATGGGCCACTTTGCACAATGAGTACTTTAATATACTCTTATTTGGAGGCTCATACTTTGACTTAAGTTTTGAATGCAGATCTAGTAATAGAGTACTTCTACACTTGTATTGCTACTTAAGTTAAAGATCTACTTCTTCCTTCTCTGGATGTTGATTTGGGAAGTTTTTATGGCAAACAGATGTTGGACTGTCCCGGTCTCTGTGATGTGAAACACCTCAGAGCCTCCTTTATTCTCTGCAGGTGATTTTCTCCTCTTTTTAAGCCGTGGAGGGTAAAAACACAGGGTCTGTTTTCTGGGGCAGATTTCAGCCTGAATCATCCGGGCTGTCCTTCACCTGCTCCTCAGATCCCTCCGCCTCGCAGCTGTCCGTCTCCTCCTCTATGGCGAAGCGCGTGTCCGCGGAGGAGCACAGGGAGCTGACGCTGCTCTGCTCCGTGCACACCGTGCACGCCAGCGGAGACTGGGGCACGCCCTCGTAGTGGAGGTGTCTGAAGTGGTTCCCATGGTTCCCACAGAATGGCACGTGGTTCCCGCAGAAAGGCACGTTCACCGCGGGCAGCTCCGGGACCGCGGGTTGAAAAGTAATGCTGTTTTTCTTCGGGAGCGCGCCCCACTCCCGCTGCTCCTCCTCGTGCACGAGGCGCGTGAATATGTTGGTCCTCCTCTTCTCTCTCCTTTTGGAGCGGAAGTAGCCGAGCATTATGCCAAAGAGGAAAATCCCGTAGAAAGACATGACTATTAAAATGTACAGGTACGCGTTCCCGTTGCTCTGCTCCTCGTGGGAGTGTGCGCTGCTTTGCGTGCGCAGGAAAAGCGGTTTGGGAGTCAAGGTGGAGTTTTCCTTGTGCTCCATTTTTCTCAGCGAAGTTTATGTGGAAGACCTAAATTGGACACAAAAAGAAAGAAAAGTACATCTATAAATATGAGGATTGTTTCCACCTTTACGCACGCGTTATGCACGCGTTACGCACGCGTTACGCACCGCACTTTGAGTGGAGTTTGGCTTTTCAAAGGATTGCAAAGTGATGAAAAGTATGGAAAGAAAAAGTTTGTTATTATTATACAACCACAACTTTGTATGTTTTGGATAAAAAGAGAACTTGCTTCCCCTTCACCCTGAAGCATGGTTGCAAAGACAATGCAAACAATTATTAATCAACATTTGACTTTGCTTTTATTTGATTTTAGCAAATGGCATTCAATGCACAAAGTTTATGGTAGTAAAGTTTAGTCTGAATATGTCACCTTGCTGAACCCTAAGGCATGTTGCAATGGATACAAAAGATCATGCAGAAAAAAGTAATTCAATGCCTCAACGATTTTGCAAATGACACTCAATGCATATGTTTATTGCTTTAAAAACAATTCAAATGTTAAGTATATTCTCAAGTGTGCATGATTAGACTTTAATAAACATCTTCTCATTCTTCTGTCAATAGATTCTAACTTGTTTTAATTGTAAAGTGTTGTACTTATGTTTTAATTTGGCATTCAATTGTTTAAAAAAGTGACCAAAAGTCCACACAATAAAACTGAAGTCAATGTAAGACTAAACAAAAACACAATCCTATAAGCTGTCTACTCACCAGACTGAAGAGTTAAATCTCACGTGAACTTTCCCCACTTGTATTTCTCGCAGCTCTTCTTGAGTTTTGGCAGCAGTGCTAAATGGTTGCAGTTATTTATACGGAGTCCCTTTGGTGTCATGAGTCACGTGACCAACTGTATGATGGTCCTCTGTCTATGGACGCCGTGCGGGGAACATATGTGCAAAGGAAAAAAAAGAAAAATGAAAACGCAGCGTCTCTTTTAACATCATTCACGCCTCCAGGGGGTTGTAATGAAATCATCGAAAGCCCGAGAGTATATGAGACTGACAGAGTCCAGCAGAAAGAGACCCGAGGGGATGTGATGGAAAAGTACATTTCAAGGAGAAAATGTTTATAAATTTAATTATTAATCCTGGACTGTATGAGGATGCATGGTCATATCTACAAATTCCACACTGGACCAGTCTCTTCATGTTAATTCCTTTCACCTAAAGCAGGGGTGTCAAACTCAAATACACAGTGGGCCAAAATAAAAAAATGGGTACTAGTCGAGGGCCGGACTGGTTCAATGTTTATTGCAAAATGTATTGAAATGAATTTATTGCACATATTAAACCTGGAACTAACAAAGCTTAAATGATTGCCAACATTAAACATTAAATAATCAGTTGCATTCATTTCTTATGGCTCTATCTGCAGCTTTTCCAGAGTCATTTCTTATGATTACATTTTTCCTCAGGCCAACAACAGCTTCAAAAAAACAATTTCCCTCAAAGAAAAAAACAAACGTGCCCTGTTGTCTCAAGAAAGAAAGTGCAGAAGGAAACATCCATGTAAACTCAGTGTGCTGCTCTGTGATGCTAGTTCAAGCCAGATACTTGGCATCTCATCTTGGGTGCAAGTTCATCAATGTTTGGGGTCAGGCTCTGAGCGGAGGAAACCCTCAGGATTCAGTGAAGGTGTGCGTGCAATATACCAGCGGGCCAGATCTTATAGTAATTAGAAATTATCCTGCAGGCTGAAATTAAATCCACCAAGGGCCTGATTTGGCCCCCGGGCCTTGAGTTTGACACATGTGGTCTAAAGCCTATGAATGAAATAATGCAACATGTTGAGGAATGGCAGAGTGGAAATAAAAGACAGACTACAGTGAATAAGAAAGAAACAGAATGGGACATTTATTATCTCCCATAAATTAGCAGTGCAATCGGTCCTCTTACAAAAAAGCCATCAGCATCTTTCCATTGGATTCTCGAATATCACAGAAAATAAACCCTGTGTCAAATACACATTTATATAGCCTACTATGATACCTAAAGGCAATCAGCAGGAGTAAAAGCTGACGTTGGGCTATCAAGCTTTACACATCCACCAGTGGGGTATGTACTGACATATGTTATGTTGTAGAAACAAAACATTGAAACATTGTAAGCTTATGCTAACCACAGACCTTATTTCTGGCATTTCACCAAACCAAAAAACACACTGACTTCCAAACAGGAGAACAGGAAGCGCTAAAATGGTCTTTTATTTTCATTCCTGCACCACTGCAGACTTCTGGGACTTCAGGTCACTATTTAAAAGTGAATGCTCGATCAGAAACCAAAGCTCAAACTAACAGGAAGTGGGAATATGTCTGCTTGCCCCGAGCCTGTTTTCCAGGTCTCAGGCTCGAAAATAACATTCCCAGAACAAATGACCATAACTTCACTTCTAAAAGGGGTAAATTAATAATCTTTTTTCTTAAAGCAATGATAAACCTGCGAGTTGGATGTAGAAGAGTCAGAATCAATATAGATGTTTTTTATTTTAAAGTAAATTCAGATTGAACATAGTAAAAAAACGTAAATTATTATGTCCGTCCAAAAAAGAATTACTTATAGTGAAAACCACCCTTGAATGATGGGATAGTAGACTAAAAGCTTTAGGAATCCAAAGTACAACATATAAGTACCCTGTATCAAGATTGATGCAAAACAAGTGACATTTGACCTTTTTAGAGAGATTTAGCAAAATAAACCCACTTCTGGGGTCATTTGGGTGGATTTGACCTATCTCTGGCCCCCCTTGGTCGATTTTGATGATTGACACCTCTTTTTAACCGCTAGAGCCAATGGGATCGAGGGGAAGTTCCACATACACACACACGTTACCAAATAAGGAGTGAGAGTGACGCGTAGCCAGAATACCCAAAACAGGAAGCTGTCATCAGTGGCGTTTTCTCCCGGAGGCCAAGGGAAGCCAGGCTTCCCCTGTTTTTTCGGATTGTAGTTATAATTTAAATAAATAAATAAAAACACTTTGTTTTGTTTCGATAATTCTCCTTTGCTGTGTGTTGCTGCCGGCCCGTCTCTCCCCCACTCTCATTGAGTATTTTACAAAGAAAGAGTGAAACAAACAGCGCCCCTCTCTAGATGTTATGGTGAAACAGTAGATTGCATTCACTGTTGCGAGAGGAGGCCAGTGGAATCTGGCTTCCCTTGGTGAGGGATTGACCAATCAGATGAGGCCCACGTGATGCCCCTGCCAACCTGTGATTGGTCAGGGCCATGCCAAGGGAAGCCAGCCGTCTCTAGCTTCCCTTCAGAGGCCCGAAGTTAAGTAAACTGATATAAACTCCCCAAACAGGTTTTACACTTTGAATCAAATCCTGTAAATCCTGAAAATCCTGAAAATCTCCGCTCTGCTGACCACAATGCACTGCAGTTCGGGTAAAATTGAGGCAAAGTGGCTTCACCCCATTCAAACCCTTCTTTTTTATTCATTACCGAATCTGCACTGCGCATTGAGCGGCTGGTATTGCATTTGGGGGGGGGGGGGGGGGGGGGGGGGGCGGCGTATCTGCATAAATTAACCCAACCCAAAAAAATGGGCTTCCCCTAAATTTTTCCCCACGCCACGCTACTGGCTGTCATACTCTCTGGTAGCTATCATTAGCAGCTAATATGAAAAGTCCGTTTTTGATATAGAAATTGAATTATGGATTATCAATACTTTTTTCAAAGTGACAGACACATTGGATTAACCTATGGATTAACCTTCAGCCGCGTTTTCCTCGTTTTAATGCCATTGAACACAACTTTTGACCAGAATAACAGCAAAAGGTGAGCATATCTCCATGTTTTGCTACCGAAAGCTACATTGTGTGTTGTCTGTATTTGCTTCCCCTGTCGCGAGTTCTGATCGCTCAGTGATGATACTTATATTTATAGAATCTGTGGAATCTCAGCTTGCTAGCAAAGCTTGTTTGTGCAGATCCGATAAGTATATAGATCGATTTATACCTAGAGTTCTGTGCTAAGTGCGTCAGCATTTTTTCGATCAGGGCTTCTTGTGAGACTTGTGTTTTGTTTCGGTAAAAATAGTTCATATCGTCAGTTAGCTTAGTTTCTTCCCGTTAAGTGAGTATGACACATTCATAGTTTATTACATTTTAAGAAGCCCTGAGACACAGTTTCGTGAAAAAAAAGCTCGCCGTCGGGGGCTATGGGGTTTAACAGGTTAGTAGCTGTTCTGTTCACATTATGATGAAACTGTTTACAGTCACTTTTATTAGGTCATTATAGGGTGTCTGCTTTTCAAAAAACGTGATGGCCATATTCATTTAACTCAATAATCGGACTGATCTCCTCCCTTTTATCACCAGATACACTCAGCCAATGATCAGTCTGACAGCACGGCGATGATGTATGTCTGCATACCGTAATACATGGTGAGCATTAATGGATGAATTGAATTAAGTTTAAATTATTTATTTTATTGAATCAGTGAGGGTTATGCAGCAGACATAAATAAATGTTGTAATCTGTCTGTACTTTAGTCCCATGGATATCACACCCAAAAGGAATACAAAAGGTTTCCAGCATTAACATCGAACTTGTATTTCTGTTATTTGTTGAATAATACAAAACATTTAAAAATTATTATTAAAATAATATTAAAATCATTTATTTATCTTAATTTTTTTTATGCAATTATTATTTTATTTTAATTTTAAATGTTATTCTAGTAAAATGTGCACATTTTATTTTTTATTATTATATAAATAATATTACAATTATTTATTTATCTTATTTTTTTTAATATAATTATAATTCATTTTAATGTAATTGTATTTATTATAATTTATTTTTTAACTTAAAGGTCCCATGACATGGCCATTTCTACTGATCATAATTCCATTGTTGAGGTCTACTAGAATAGATTTTCATTGTTCAAAGTTCCAAACTCACATTGGTTTCTCATACAGCATCTCTGTATAGTATGTGTATTCACTCTCTGTCCTACACGGCTTGTTGGAGCTCCTGCCCCCCCTCTCCCTATGAGCCCACTGTGCTCTGATTTGTGTTTATGTGTTACAATGGCGTTTGTTAGCAACCAGAAAATGACACCAGTAATGACAAACAGATGAGAATGCTGCGTGGGGTCTGGGTTCCGTGTTGGCAGGACGTTGCGGGACTCGCTGCTGGAGCGGACAGTGTGAGCTGGATTACTGGTGTCATTTCCTGGTTGCTGCGTGGGGTCTGCGAGACACAGCGAAACTCAGCCTGAACTCAGCCTGAGTTCAGACTGAGAAATCCGTTTGGACCAATCCGCGGAGCCGTTACGTCACTGTGACCCTTACGTCAATATGCCCCGGAAGAAAACAATGGAAAAAGAGAAATGTCCAACGAGGCGTTCTGGGGCAGCATAGACAGGTCTTTTCTGTGTTAGAGTTTTACTCGCTACAGGGTGTACTTTGAGGGTTTGCGACTCTGCAGACCGTTTACATGCATAAAAAGCTAAATAACAAGGGGACGGGGAATAACCAGAAAAGCATGACATGGGACCTTTAAATGGTGCAACTGGTATGAAATCCAGTTTCCCCTTGGGGATAAATAAAGTAATTCTAAACCTGATTAATACTTTACATTTTATTATATTTACCTGGTGATTTTTTTCTTCAAAAAACAACACAACCCCCTGTGTATAGACCAAACACAATGTTTATTTCTTTATTTGGGTATCTTTCCAACAAATAACGGATAAAAAGTCGATGCACTTCTGTTACAAGGCAGGCTCTGGATTCAGAGTGGAGTGGAGCTCCGAAACAGGTCTTTGATAATAAAGCTTGAATTAAAAAAGAGACTTTGAAAGTGCTTCTCCGGCTGATCACAGCTCCACAAACAGATATGTACACGGATGGAGAAACATCACATTCAAAAAATCAGTCATGAGTTAGAAAGGCGAGGATCACGAGAAGGCAACAGGTGTCACATTGTGAGGGATGCTGGGGCCTTTTTAATTTAAGGAATCACACACTTAGTCTCACTCGTGCAAAGGACAACATGTTCAGCTAAGTAAAGACAGAATAAAAATCATACCCACACACACAGAAGTCACTCTGTGTGTGAATTCAACAGACAGACGCACATTGAGAAAGCTTTATTTATGTCCTATCTGTAATCAACCGCCTTATTTGGACAGAAATTACACATCTTCCTATTGCATGATTTGTCAAATCATTTCGTCTGTAATACAAGCAAGTCAATGTGCATTTTTGTGCACAAAGTGGAATGTACACGCTTAAAAAATATACTCTATCACTGTAGGAAAATACAATAGACTAAACAACAGAGTTTCTTTTCTTTTTTAAATAGACCGTTTCTGTCATGTTCCTATAAAAGGACAATGGCCTTAATGTTGATGATGGAAAGATACAAATTGTTGGACCACATAACCTGCTCTCCTTTGCCCTCAAATGGCTTTGTGCTTTGGAAACAAGACGTGGGAGACGAAGCCCGACTGACTGTGGGTGGGAGGCAAAATAAACCACTGACAGAACTCAAAATATGTGAAAACAAAAAAGAAACAAAAGACTGAACCGTCTCCTGACCTGCAGGAAAAAGGAGTTTAAAACCCATAAGTTAAAAAGAAGAGGATCAATATGAAGTTTAGGAAAGATTCAAAGATAGAAATAGTGTCTTTTGTCTTCAAGAAAGAGTTCAACAAACATCTGTTTCATAACTCACATCTGGAACAATACAGATCGCCACAAAGAGGTCATACACCTGGGCGAGAAAAAGGGAAAATGCATCAGTGGACAGTTTTCTGTTTTCTTTCTCCGCCGTTCTTTAGTTACAAAATTCCACCTCCGAGATTTGTTTGCTGACACCCTATTTTTAACCTCCTTTCTGTTAAGATTTAAAGGTCACCTATTATGCAAAATCCACTTGTTCATGTCTCTTCTACATCAACATGTGTCCCCTCTTCTTCATGTCTCTTCTACATCAACATGTGTCCCCTCTTCTTCATGTCTCTTCTACATCAACATGTGTCCCCTCTTCTCCATGTCTCTTCTACATCAACATGTGTCCCCTCTTCTTCATGTCTCTTCTACATCAACATGTGTCCCCTCTTCTTCATGTCTCTTCTACATCAACATGTGTCCCCTCTTCTTCATGTCTCTTCTACATCAACATGTGTCCCCTCTTCTTCATGTCTCTTCTACATCAACATGTGTCCCCTCTGTGGAAAGAGACTCTGAAAGTTTCAGGAACAAAGATTCTCTCTCTTTTTGTCCTGATCCATTTATATAAAAACCTGTCTGAAAATGAGCTGATCAGATTTTGGCCACTTTATGATGTCATAACGATGTTTTGGCTTGTGTAACCATTAGCCAATCAGCAACCAAGGTAACCCCCCCCCCCCCACCACCTTATCACCTGAATCTCCTCCTAGAGAAACCATTGTGTTCTTTGTAACCAAATATCTCTCAGAGGGGCGTGGGGAGGGGCTCCTTATTTTCATCTAAAGCAGGGGTCTCAAACTCAAGGCCCGGGGGCCAAATCCGGCCCGCGACTTCATTTTATGTGGTCCCTCAAGAGCTTGCAAAGAATATAATACGTTTATTATACGGTTACATGCCACTTTACAGGTTGCCCATAAACTACATGTCCCACAATGCATCTCGTTTTGTGACATGCACACTGAAGAGACTTACAATTATTTGCCCTGGACTTCTGCTTTCAGACGTAGTTAATTAATAAGTTATTATCCTATCCGATCTGGCAATAATGTAATATAATACATTCTTTTATATATATATTATATATTTATATAGTTACAACCGGCCCTTTGAGTGCAACCTTTATGCGAATGTGGCCCGTGCTGAAATTGAGTTTGACACCCCTGATCTAAAGTAACAGACAGAGAATCAGCACTTTTGAAACAGGGCTGAAACAGAGGGGATTATGGGATGCTGCAATGATCTGTTTGGTGTTTCAGCCAATCAGAGACAGGTATCTGAGACCTGTAATATATTGATGAAAAACAGTATAATAGGGGACCTTTAACACCGGTTCAGGTCACGGTGGCTCTTGCAGTGTGTTCATTTGGATCGAGTGTTGGTCTGTGTTTTGACGGAGAACAATGCCGCTCCTTGTCTCTATTTGCCCCCGTACATCCTCTCGATGTCGTCCTGGTAGTGTGTCTTCAGCTCTTGGCGTTTGAGCTTGAATGCGTCAGTCACTAATCCCGTCTCAGGAGTCCAGGGCTCCGGACTCAGGCAGATCTTTCGGGGGATCTCGAAGCGCTCGAGCTGGGCTGCGACAGAAAAAGACGAAACATTCATTTGTAAATAAACCCTGACATTAGTGCTTCCCACAGAATTGGACCCCATATGCGGTAGTAACTGGGAGGAGGTTTGGCTTTCCCACGTGTTTTTTCTTTTATAGGTACTCAGTTTTTTCTTCTCTGGCAAAGACTGACTTCTCTTTTTGACGAGTCCTTTGAGTCTATTTTATTTCAATATTCCTCATCTAGATATACCGTAGGGAACCAGCTAAAGAATGCACATTATCCACTTAGCACGAGCAGTCGTTATTCGGACTGTAACTACAATTACAATTTCATTAACGAATGATCTGCTGCTCACTTTGTGTGATATGTAAAATGTCAGAAAATGTGCAGTTCCTTAAAGTCCCAGTTCTTTGTCAGTCTCAAACCAAACAGATATCAACTTTTATATTCAATAAACCAGAGAAAGGCAGAACATTCACACATTCAAGAGGCTGAAGGGGCATTTTTGTATGAAAATTACTTTAAGACTTATCAATTATCAAATCAATGAACCTGTTCAACCCAGCTGTATTTAAAGTTAAATTATAGACATCATTAGAAGCTATTCTCATTTCATGTTTGCTTATAACTTATTTAAAGAGTTTGATCTTTGAGATGGACAATTTAACATAGATTAATTTATAATTGCATCAGATTTGGAAAACTGTTTGCAGAGGTGTTTCTGATACTAACAATTAGTGAACTATTGATAATGTGAACACAGTAGAAATGTGTCTGTGAGTCTTTTCTTTTTTGGTTTAAAGCCAACAACAATTCTTCCATCCGCACACAATCATGTTTTTATCATCTGTAAAGGGTAGAAGCTCCTCTCACCCTCCAGAGCCGCCTCAGTGAGGGTCTTTAACACCAGCTCCTCCACAGCCTCACTGCTGCACAGATCCTCACAGGACCCTCCGATCCCGTACTGATCCACCAGCGTCAGCAGCTGCTTCTGATTGGGCACCACGAAGCCAATCACGTACGTCTCGTCGCTGCAAAAGGTGGGAGAGGACAAGATGTCAGGCATTGGTTAAACCATTCATTCAAGCATCAGCCAATCAGCTTGCTACTCCAAGTCTGCGAGGTAAACCCAGGTGCACCTCGACAAAAACACACCTGTTATCTGCTATCCTGTCTCTTAAATGGTGCAACAAGCTCCCCATTGACATCAGGACAGCAGAAACACTGCATGTCTTCCCTCGCAAACTGAAAAGGCATCAGGTTCGATTGTACCTTGGCTTTTCAATTCTATGAAAATCAGAATTAAAAGCATTTTAAGAAGTTAATGTAGGCCGTGAAACTAATTCACCAGCACTTACAGTACAACCGTCTGACTTGCTTGAAGTGAATATATCTGCACTTTCCTTCTTGTTCGGAGTTCGAATCATAATGTTTTTTGCACTTAGGAGCAAATGAAATGTCAAAGAGAAAGACAAACAGAGTGTAGTTATTAAGTGACGCTGGTTTTTGTGTGTATTCTAGCGACGTGCATGTTGGGCCCAATAAGGCGATGCAGAACATACATGTGCACGCACAAACCATCCATTCTTCGCCAAGTGAGAGTTTACCCATACAAGGAAATGGAAACGATGCGTGCCTGAGCAGAGTGTGAACAGACTGTACCCTTTGAATATTTTTAAAACACGGTCTGTTGCTGAGTCACAGAGTCAAAGATGACACTGATAAGTTAAAGGCACCCTGCAGAGTTTTCTTGTACTGTGTTACTCAACAAAACCTAATGTGTGTATCATTTCTTTCCTTATAAAATATCTAGAAGTTGTCTTTTTTCCTGCCTCTTGGTGCATTACTGTATATCAAAGCAACGTTAGGACACTGTTGGAAGGAACGTTTTTGTAACTCGCGTGCTAGTGCTCAATGTCGTTGTGCATGAGAACAAATGTGATCAAAGCTCCACAGGGCGACTTTCATGTTTAACAAGGGCATACACTGTTTACAGGAAGTCACTCTGTGTACATGGAGGCCCTGTGACTCAGAAGATATTCCTCAAATGCAGCATCTTACTCACTCTAATTACGTTAGATTAGATGAGAAGCATTTATTGTCATTATACAAGTACAACGAGAAGAGTAAAGCCTCTCCTTTTAAGATGCCATCAAAACATTCAGAATAGACAACAGGCAACAAAGACACGCAGCATTCACATAAAATAACAGCAAAATGAAGTGCAGGAAAAAACGTGTAGACTATGTATGTGTATATTAGTAAATTATATATATTGCACATGTATCTCTTGGGAAGAAACTGTCTTTGAGTCTGTTTGTCGTTACTTTTATACGTCTGTATTAGTTATTACATTGTTACATTTTTCAGAAGGTTCGGTTTGCGTTCACACGGGCAAAACTCAAACGGACTATAAACTTTAAACACAAGTCATGTGCACGGAAATGCTGTTCAATCATTGGTCAGACATTAAGGGGGTAAAAAACGCAAATCCCGACAATTTCTACCGGAGCCTCCGCCATGGAGCATCGGCACTTTCGGCAGGTTATTTTCAAGCTGCTGTTAATCTGGAGATCAACAGACTCTAGCGGCCCGCGCATATGATTATATAATCAGACAACGTCCGTTAAAAAAATTATAACACATAATGAGAGACGTTCTGCAGTAAGGAGGGGGTTTCACAGACGACAGGTGGCTCTGACTTTTATGTATAGTTGACGGAGCATTTTTACTTTACACGACACTGTTCAACACTTCATTCTGCTTCACTCTTTAACTAAACAACCGCGGATGTCTTCAAAATCTTAAACGAAAGAGTCTTTCGCTAAAGATTTTGAAGACATCCGCGTTCTTGTGACGCGTAAATACTACACTTCCTATGTTTTGGTGCGGACTGCGTTCACACCAGCGATGAACCGCTCCAGAGTTCACTAGCAAGCGGTCCGAGACCACCTCTTTGAGGCGGACCAGAGTCCGGTTGTTTAGTTCACTTCGGAGGTCTCGGGCTGTGTTCATACCGACCCAAACGAACCGCACCAAGCGGCTAAACGCACCAGGGTTCGATTCAACCGGACTATACAAGGCTGGTGTGAATGTGACCTTAGAGTCATTTCGGTTTTAATGTGCAGTTTCATCATTTAATCAGTAATGCAGGAATAGTAAAGCTTCATGGATCATATTACATCTAAATGAAGATGTAAACAACTTGGACAACGCAAAAAAGGGTAAACCGTCTACCCCAATAAAGTCTATCCTGTATTTGTAGCGTCATGTTTGTAATGATATGTACATATAAACAATAGCATCACCTTTTAATGTATCTTTATAAACTGTTATCTGTTTATTAATGCAGAATATGGAGGCAGAGGGACTCGGTTTTGTTATCGTTCTGGTTTCAATTAGTCATTTAGCGTTGTATTGACAATCAAATCAGAGATAGGTTAGTTTGTTTGCACTTAAACAGTCACAAAAAAGCAAAAAAAAGCGAAACACATCCCTATCCCCGACAAGTATTAACGTTATATTAGCATGAAACTAGCTTTTACAACGTCTACTTGTTAAACAATCTCTCTGTCTCTAAACTTCAACATCGTACTCGAGCTTCAAGTTGCTTTTCAGACTTGAAAAATGACTCAGAGAGAAAAGGAAGTCTTGACCCGGATATCCGACATAATATTTGGTTTTGCCCCCGGAGGCTTATGGTGGTCAGACTGATGGGTTCTGATATTGCTTTTTAGTTAAGATGCGCGCGCGCACGCACACACACACACACACACACACACACACACACACACACACACACACACACACACACACACACACACACACACACACACACACACACACACACACACACACACACACACACACACACACACACACACACACACACACACACACACACACACACACACACACACACACACACACACACACACACACACACACACTACCTGTTGGCGTAGGCACAGATGTTGTCGACCAGAGGACAGTTCTTCAACATGGCCTCCACTTTTCCCAGAGAGACGTACTCTCCTGCCTGCAGCTTCACCAGGTCTTTCTTACGATCTGGAAACAAAGACAGTGTGTTTAATAACTGTGGAAACACTTGCATTTCTTGAAAAGTTGAAGGAAGAAGCTGGGCCACCAGACTCAGGGACCAGTTTCATTCCGCAGGCCATAAGACTGTTAAACACTTGAACTAAGAACATCCATAACATTCACCTAATTGCTACTTACAAATTATGTATCACTTGTATACTCTTATGGCACTACTTCTATTCTATTTGATTGTATTTACTTGCACTATTTTATCTGTTTTATTGGAGGAGCCTGTGACCTAAGACTTTCATCGACATAACTACACTGTACTGTAGCTATATACGAATGACAATAAAAGCCTTGAATCTTGAATCTTGAATGGTGGAAGGTTCCATTTTCCACTGGACTTCTGACCAATGTGTCATCAAGATAACAGAGAACATGTGGGGGTTTCTGGATGACTTAAGCAAACAGAAGTATGGAGTAATTCTGGGATGTAAGGTAATCAGAACTTTTGGTCAGGCTTCCTGCCAGACTGATGGATGGAAGTGGAGGAGAAATGTTGCATGGGAACATTTCAGAAACCTGGGGTACAATGTTGATGCGGTGGCTTTGGAAATGGTGATCATTTGGACATATAAACCTATCCTTTTGTACTCTACACTTCCACCCAAAGGCATCCTTATTTCCTCACCAATGATCTTGAGGCACCCGTCTTGGTGAAACTCTCCGATGTCTCCCGTACAGAACCACCTCTGACCGCTCTCGTCTACGAAGAAATCCTCATTTTTCGACCCGTTCTTGTAGTACCCCATGGTGACGTTGGGTCCACCGACCAGGATCTCTCCTCGTGGATTTGGCTTATCGGTACTACGATAACCACCTGAGAGAAGAGGGTACATTCAGATGTTTGGAAGTAAAAACACAAGAAAACATGAACGTCTTGCGATTATAGTTGTGCAGAAAAACCTGAGGTGGGAGAAGTACTCAGATCTTGTACTTGAGTAAAAGTAGAAGTACTCAGATCTTATACTTTAGTAAAAGTAGAAGTACTCAGATCTTGTACTTGAGTAAAAGTAGAAGTACTCAGATCTTGTACTTGAGTAAAAGTAGAAGTACCAGAGTGTAGGAATACTCTGTTACAGTAAAAGTCCTGGATTCAAAATGTTCCTCAAGTCAAAGTAGAAAAGTATTATCATCAAAATATAGTGAAAGTAGCGACAGTAAAAGTAGTCATTGTGCAGATTGGTCCATTTCAGAATAATATATATGATATGTTTTATAATGATTGATCATGAAAGTGTTCTCAAAGCTGGTAAAGGTGCAGCGAGTTTGAATGACTTTGTATACTGCAGGGTAGCTTGTGGATTTACTCCAGGTGGAACTAAAGTCTGATTTAACACTTGATTATATTTCACATCATTCATCCAGATCTGTGAAGTAACTAAAGGTATTAAAGGAGAGGTGTCATGCTTTTCCGGTTATTACCCGTCCCCTTGTGTGTTATGAAGGTTTTTATGCATGTAAACGGTGTGCAGAGTCAAAACCCTCAAAGTACACCGTGTAGGGAGTAAAACTTTAACACAGAAAATACCTCCCCAAAACGCCTCGTTGGAGATACGTCACTGCCCATTTGAGTCTTCCATTTCGTTCCGGGTACGGCCTGATGTCAAGCGGTACCCGGAACGAAATGGACCAATCCCGAAGAGCCGTTACGTTACGTCCGCGGAGCCGTTACGTTAAGCCCCCGCTGATTGGTCCAAATTGACCGATCCACGGACTTCCTCACACACACATCTGTGTGCAGGGAGCAGGCAGCTCAGCTGATTTCTCCTCCCTGGCTGCAGGCTGATAACAGACAGTTGGGATCGCGGCAAAATTCTCTCTGCAGACCCATTCTCTCTGCAGACCCATTCTCTCTGCAGACCCATTCTCTCTGCAGACCCATTCTCTCTGCAGACCCATTCTCTCTGCAGACCCATTCTCTCTGCAGACCCATTCTCTCTGCAGACCCATTCTCTCTGCAGACCCATTCTCTCTGCAGACCCATTCTCACAGCGTTTATCAACCTTTTTCTTACTCAATATCAAGCCACACTTATTGTTTTTACTTCGGATGTGAGTTTGTGTGTGCTCAGGATGAATTTGGCTGTGTTTCGCTATATATCCTAAACAAGGAAGCAACACCTCCACGGAGCTCAGCGCGATTCACAACGTCCCGACCAATCAGAGCACACTGTGCTCTCAGGGAGGGTGGGGGCTGGAGCTTTTGGAGCTACAACGAACCGTTAAAGGCAGAGAGTGAAATTCAGTGAATACAAGTAGTTTACAGAGATGCTGTATGAGAAACCAATGTGAGTTTGGACAAATGCACAATATAAATCTATTTTAGTATACCTCAACAATGGAATTATGATCAGTGGAAATGGCCATGACACCTCTCCTTTAAATACATGTAGTGGATTAAAAGTACACAATTTACCTCTGAACTGTAGTGGAGTAGAAGTACAAAGTATCATACAATTGAAATACTCAAGTAAAGTACAAGTACCTCAACATCTTACTTAAGTACAGTGCTTGAGTAAATGCACTTAGTTACTTCCCACCTCTGATAAAAACCTGAAGGAGAGTTCACTTTAAAAAACTAGTGCTGGTCTGGAAACCAAGCAGGAAATAAACTCAACTTGATAACTATCAATATTAAAATGAGAGTCATAAAAGTGAGTTATGATCCCTGATGTAAAAAGATGGAAGTTGTACAACAGCAGAAGGGAGAGAAGTTTCCTTACAAGGAGACGCTGACAGAGGAATGAGGAATGATGGATGGATTCAGAAAAGTGTTGATATGCAAAGACACGTAAAAGAGAAATGCAAGGACTGATGTTTGTCCCTGTAAATCCATCTGACTCTGTATTACATTGCCATGGATATTGCATGTGTGTGTGTGTGTGTGTGTGTGTGTGTGTGTATGTGTGTGTGTGTGTGTGTGTGTGTGTGTGAGTGTGTAGTCTCACTCACCCTCCACCCAGTCTTTGAGCTTCAACTCACAGCAAACCAGCGGTCCTCCCACTCTCCCAGTGCTGTAATCCCACACTGAAAACACACACACACACACACACACACACACACGATGAGGGAACACAGCAGCATCAAGGCACGACAGTTATAACCATAGCAACACAACCTCATTTGTTCCCTCGCCATGGAAACCCCATCCCAGAGGAATGTCCAGTGTTTCTTGGCTCAAAATGAGCGCAGTGGAGATGGTTCAGTCTGGGAAAAAGGCTGGAAGTATCGGATAAATGTGACAGCAATGAAAGCACAACACTGATTATTGGGACATGATAAACAGTTGTTAAACTGTGCAATTCATTACATGTCACTTGTTAGATGTTTTTATCCTAAGCGACTTACATACATCCAACAATTTGGGGTGAAGTGTCTGCAGCGGGATTTGAACCCTCAGCGCACTAACTAAATTCAGTTTTGATCAATCAATATTAATACACCACGGTATATATTGTCACTTACATGTTATATATCTTAGTACAAGGTCAACAATGTTTTACTTTACCTTCATATTTGTATATATATGTATTTTATTTTATATTTTATTGGACACTTATTGTTTTTTAACTTCTTATGTTTATATGATTTTTTTATTTTATTTTGTTTTATTTTTTTATTGCACTTTCTTACTTTAACTTCTGCTTATATTAATTGTATTTAATCTTTTTATTGTACATTTTTACTTTTTCTGTATACATTAATATACGTATAATTTTTTATAATTTATCTTTTATTTAATTCCCCTTACTAAAATAGAGCAACTATCACAAAACCCAATTTCCGACGGGGATACAAATAACTCTGATTCTGTATCATAATTACTCAACTTTGGTATATTAGTGGCTTCTCTTACTCACATTACCAAGAGGAACAGCTAATTATGTTTTTTCAAAATGTCCGGTAATAATTAGGGATGCTCCGATCGATCGGTCGCTGATCATTATCGGCCGATATTCACTCTTAATAGTGTGATCGGTGCGCTCTATAAAGGCTGATCAGGAGAGCCGATCAGATGAAGCAAAATACATGAGACTTTTCTCTGTGTGCGGCAAAAGAAGCTCGCCAAAATGGCTTCACCGGTCTGGCAGTTTTTTAAGGTGTCCGAAAAAGACAATAAAATAGCGGTATGCAACGTGTGTGAAGCAGAAAGAGATCAGCTGCTGCTGACGGAGACACGCAGCTCTGCATGATCACCTGCAGCTCTGTCTGCTGTGACGGACCGGTGAGCAGAGCAAAACACACACTTCGAGTTAGACCTAACACACTTAGCTATTTTATCTACCTCTGGAACAAGCTAAACTAGTTATGAATATGTTTATTCTTCACTGTCGGGTCACTCATTACTGGATCAGTGAGCTGCATGAGTCTGATACTGACGGGCTGTCAGGAGAGGGAGAAGAGGCGCTTTCACACCGCAGTACTTTTCCCACAAAGGTTCATGAGAACTTAGTTCATGAGAACAGATCGCGTTCACACCGGAATAAGTCCCTGGGGGAGGATTAGGCAAATGAAGCCGCTGACGTCACTTCTTCTTCTTCTGCTTTGGGTTTACTGGCAGGCCGCAAACAACTTCACGGCGTATACTGCCACCCGAAGTCCCCGGCCGGAAGTCCCCGGAGTTGGGGACTGGCTTCAGTAGAAGCTGCTGGGACTCCCAGCAGCTTCTACTGAAGCCTTCCGAATAAATCGCCAGAAACGCCGACACCTCCTCATCTCCACCGCTCCCATGTTTTCTTTTGTGTTGCCATGAGTTAGTCTCTCTGCGTTTGTGCGCTGGGCGAATGCTAATGCTAATAATGCTAATGCGAGGATAATAAAATGGCGGCTTCACAAAACTTTTTGGGAGTTTTACGGGGCGTGGTTTGCAATCCGCCCAGCCAATCAGAAATAGGAACCTTTTTCTTCCACGAAAGTCCCTGCTCTCTAGCAGGGACTGAAAAGGGGGTAAAAAGGTTCTCATGAACTCATTTTAGTCCCAGATTTTTTTGGTGTGAACGTGACATTTCGGAACTATATCGGAACTAAAGTGGGAAAAGTACTGCGGTGTGAAAGCGCCTAAGGGCTCCGTTTATTTCTCCCGTGTTATTATCCAAAGTTAATGTAAACTTTTGAATAATATACTTCATCTACTATAAGTAGTTTGTTTGAATGTAACAATTATGTTGTTTGTTGTTTGTGGAAGCGTATCATTTATTGAAAAATGAATCTGAACTTTTTGATCTGTTACGATTATAAACTGAAGCAATATAAAATGAGCCCCATTAACTGAGTTTTAAACATCAGCATTATATTACCGGTCATAGTCCGGTAATTACCTGCTAACGGAAACTCTGCTACACAATTCTTCTTCTTATTATTATTGAAACATGACCGGTAAGTTTCACATTTGTCCGGTAAAATAAATTATTTCCGGACATTTGACCGGCAAGAAAAGATCCTAGCGGAAACCCTGATGTCTTTTTAACTCTCAGTGTACGATGTGTTCCTCTTCAAAGCAGAAACTTCCCACGCATGATGTATCTACTCATTATTTTTATCGCACTGATTCTCCCCTCCAAGTCATCTCTCCATCTTCATGTCCTCCCACTGCTTCTGTCACTGCTTGGAGATTGTGGAAACTCCATTTTTTCCTCGAAGTATACTTCCCACAATTGCTCAATGATGCACAACTGTAACCCTCCTGTTGTGTTTGGGTCAAATCTGACTGATTTACTACTTTCATCAATCATAACTTTTTTGTTTTACATTTGATTGCATTAAGGCTTTATGATATCCTTCACAGTAGACATTTGAACATATGAAATGGCTGATCACCACTTTCATTGAATTTTGGATGATTTAGTCAACTTTGTAACACCCATGGTGTTCCCGGTCAAAAATGACCACCATAAAGAAAAGGAATTAGTAACCATCCAGATCAGATAACACACACACACACCCCCACCCACACCACACCCACACACACACACACACACACACACACAACCACACACACACACACACACACACACACACACACACACACACACACACACACACACACACACAAACACACACACACACACACACACACACACACACACACACACACACACACACACACACACACACACACACACACTAACACACACACACACACACACACACAGAACAATTTGACTCATTTCCCGCTCGTATGTGCCCATCCCCCCACATGGATCACACCTGGCACACGCAATACATGTTCAGTGTCTATTCTTTGTATATTTACTGCAGTTTTTCATGTATACCAGTAGTCTGATACACTATTTACAGTTTGAAAGGGTGTTAAATTAAATTTGGTGATGATTAATGGTTTTTGTGTTAATGTAATAGCAGTTAAAACAGGACCGGTCAAATTTGACCGCGAACACCAGAGTAAGGGGGGGGGGAAACGAAGACAATAGAAGGGTTAAGAGCAATTCACTACTTAAGTTGCACTCTTTGTAAGAAAAAGCAGCCGTTGATATATTGATGTCTATTCCCATATAGATACTGCAGTAAATAAGACTCTCGTATCAGTTGGATTTTGAGCAAAATATGGTCGCAAGTTATAACTACAAAAACAAATAAGTGAAGAAGTGTAATTTCCCCCCCAAAAAAGCATTGTAAAGACTTTGTGACACACCTAAATATACTCAAAATGTTATATAAATAAAGCAAGCTGACAGCTATTATGTATAGAAATAGTTATTTTCATTAGTCTGAGATATTTTATAGCAGCCGACTGTTACAAAATGTAATTACAAGACAGTTCCTCATCACCTCTCTGTTCCTCGACAATCGTTTTCTCAACCTCTATTTCTTCACACTGCTGCACTTTAGCGATCTCTTGTTCAAACCCTCTTTGAATGAGTGATGAGTGAGAAAGAATGAAAGCAGATCCATAAACACAGACAAACTTAAACGATCTACTTTAATAACTTCTTACGCTCGCTGATGGTTCCCGCCCCGCAGGTCTCCGTCAGGCCGTAAAAGTAGTACAAATTGTACCTAAGTACTTTAGTAAATGTTCTTCCCACCTCTGATTATGCTCACATCTCTGTTAGCGTGTTAGCATGCTATCATTTGTAATTTGTGTAAAACAGTACAGCTGATTTATACCTTCCTCTATTCGCTATATATTCTTGTATACTTTTTTCTATTTCTATTTCATTTTGGATATGGCGTGTGTGTTACATGTTGTGATCATGGACCCTGCTATATGTGACATGTATGTAGTAAAGATTTTGTCTTTCATCCTTTCTTTATGACTAATGCTGTTGATGTGTTGTGATTTTAAAAAGGTGTCTATTATCATCTGGAGAACAGCTGGAAATGAGCAATGTTGGCTCAAGCTGCTCCATTTACTGTTTGTTGTGATTCATGGGGACTGTCCACGACACTATTAACAAATAAACTAAACCAAACTAAACTTGTTTCTATTTCTATTTCTTAAACGGTCTCCTTTGTGACTTTGTGATTTTTTTCTTACGCTGGCTGATGGTTCCCGCCCCGCAGGTCTCCGTCAGGCCGTAGCCCTGACCCACCGGGCAGCAGAAACACACGTTCATGAAGCGCTGCGTGACGGCGGATAGCGGCGCTCCACCGGATAACAAGACCCGTATCCGACCTCCCAGCAGAGAGCGAACTTTCCTGAACACCAGCCTGGATGGGAGGAAACGGGGGGAAGTGGAAAAGTACACACATCCTTTACTCAAGTAGAAGTACACACATCCTTTACTCAAGTAGAAGTACAGATACTCGTGTTTAAAAATACTCTGGTGAAAGTAGAAGTACTGACTAAACTTCTTTACTCAAGTGAAAGTAAAGAGGGCTTTGAAATGTACTTCAGTAAAAAGTACCCATAACTAGCAGCTGTTTTAAAGAGTACCTGACCTCCCTTTATATTAATAGAACAATAATGTCATTGTTAGCTAATGAATGTTTCCATGCTGAACAACGGCAACATGACAACGTTTTCATTGGTCCCTCTTCTTTAGAGAAGACCAGAGGCCTGTACTACGAAGCTGGTTCAACTTAACCTGGATATGTTGGAGTTAGCCGGTTGGCGTAATCCAAAACATACGCGCTGGCGCTAAGCTGTACTACGACGCTGGATATCAAGTGGATCGCTCAAGCCGCCGTGTCCTATCTAGTTAGGTGCGCGTTCACATGAAAGGGGTGGTATTTGGAGCATTCGACCAATCTCAAACACGGACAAGCGTACTGACAGCGCAGCGTCATACTTCCTGAATGAAAAGTGAACTTTAATATTAGTCAAATATGAAGAAGTTAAACTTTAAACATCCATGACTTAAACACTTTATCCAGGATAAAAGCCACATAGCTGCACCTGCAAGGTGAATACAGCTGGTAAAAGAAAAAAGTGTTTGAATGCGTACATTAACAGGTTTATGAAATCACTGCCCCGTCCAAGACACGAGTGGATCTGACTTTAATTAGGAGAATTTGACTCGAGTGTTTCGTCAACTTAATGTGTTGCTTAAAATAATACTTCTGCATACAGTATGTGACACTGTGAGTGTTGCCACGGCCAGATACGGCTCAGCTGACTCAAATAAGGAAATATATGATACATTATGATGTGATATGATATGAATGATAATGGGACACATCGACGTCTGCACTCACAGTGCCGCGGACTGTACTTAATGTTACTCTGATCCGGTTACTTATGTTGTGGCAGATATTTAAGTAAGCTTTCTTAACGCTAATGTTATAATAGTCAGATTGCTCTGAAGATGGGAGGGGATATTCTATTAATTTTCACGTTCACACAGTCAGTTGATTTTTGCCGGCCGTCTTTCCTGCAACGGCAGTTTTTCTGTATTTCCTCTATCCTGTAATATGAATTGATAGCTTTAAACTCCGCACACGGAGCTCTGATTGGTCAGCAGGCGGTGCTTTCACTGAGTTGATCTCTTAGCCTGCCACCTAACCTGCTCCGGAGCAGGTTTGTCGCTCAGCATAAGTTACCATGGAGATCTAGCCTGCTAAAAAGAGAACCAGCGTCGTAGGACCGGAAAGCCCGAGATTTCCCTGAATTTAGCTCGCTAAGTGAAAATCCAGCTTCGTAGTACAGGCCTCTAGAAATGATGGATACACGGATCGTGTTCAAATCAATAGGCACGCAAGGACTCTAAATAATAATGATCACGCCACCAAACACACATTCAAACTAAAAGGAACCAGCCTGTTTGGGAAATGTGAGAAGTAGAAAGTACAGGTGTTTGTGTTCACAATGTAAGAAGTAGAAAGTAAAAGTAAGTAGTGGAGTAAAGTACTGATACCAGAAAAACGTACTTGAGTACAGAAACAAAGTATTTGTACTCCACTACTTCCCACCTCTGTGAACCAGAGAATACAGCGAGGAAGTTCTTCACCTCTTGTCTAAATGCCACTGCTACCACTCACTTGTCACACAGAGGTGTGCTGTTGCCTTTGGAGAGCTGCTCCAGTTTGTAGTTGTACGCCAGAATGAAGAGAGTCCGCTGCACACAGCTCATCTCCTCCACCTTCAGCATCACGTTCTTATAGATACGATCCATGATCTCCTGCAAGGGGAGGAAAGAGAACCAATGAGGGATAGGAAGAGACCAAAATCAATTCAGAAGAAGCCAAGATTCAAAGCATCAAGCAACAACATAACGTTAAAATACCAAAACTAAAAACACTGCAGAATCGCCTTTTGTGAGCTACATCACAAGATTCAAAGATTCAAAGGTTTTATTGTCATATTCACATCAGCTACAGTGTAGAAATGGCATTGAACACCTTCTGACCTGAGCTCCTCCAACGATGCAACATATATAATAAAATACAAATAGAAAATAGTGCAAGAAGTCTATATACACGGTGATAACTATTTAGATAAATAAGTAAATTGCCAACCAAACTGTTAGTTAACTTTCAGGAACTTTAAACACAGTGAAAGGGTTAAAGTGTACACAAAGAGTACCCACACAACTCTGCTGTAGCAACCCGCCCTAACCCTGCTTTATTGTCTATTTTACTCTAAGTGGGATTATAATTTACAAGGTATAGGGTGAGACCAAATTCAATAAAATATATACAACATAATAGATATAAAAAATTGGAGGTAGCCACAGTGACCCATTGGTTTGTGGACTACAGAGTTTGGTGTTCTTCTTTTTTTGGAACCAGACGTCACTATTTGGCCAAGGGTGAAATAAAAGTTTGGCACAGCCAGAGACACATTAAATGAGATTGTGTCAGATAAAACCAAAGAACTGGATCATTAAGGTGGTTATAAGGGAGCAAATGTAAACATGAGTTGGATGTATTGTACGGGTTATAAGAACAACAGAGAATATGTATAAATATTGCCAGATAAATGAGATTTCAGTTTAATTAGGCACATTGTAAAATGACTGATATGGCATTTTCGCAAACAAAACATATTCTTTAAAGCTGCATTCGTCCACATTTGGTCTCTAGGTGGCAGAAAAAACATTGGAAGACACACAACCACCACATATTCTCAGCTTATAAAGCATAAAAACTCTAAAACTAAGCAAACTATTGCCAAGCAGACAGCAGTGCTCCAACATTTACTCTTCTTTGAGCTCTATTTTGAATTCGCAGCTTGAATCAGCCCCTCAGAATAAAGTGGGTTTGTCAAAGTGAATTCGTTTAATTGGCTTTGACTTCTTAGTCGTGGATAAACTGGTGGAAGGAGCGGTGATGTGCTGGGAACTGGAATATCTGAGGAATTACAATTATTTTAGTTTCTTGGCTAGGACACATGCCTTTTGAGATTCCTACTGCACAAAAAAAGAGGCGCATGAAGCTCAAATCAAGAAAAACGAATTATCCAAATCAGTAGTGAATGCAAAAGCTGAATTATAGCTAAATGGGGGAAAGGGTAAAACCTAAAGACAATACAAAAAAAACCCCATCTGGTTCATGGAAGCTTTAGTGAGAGAGGAAGTGGACTCGGATCCATGCAGCAGCTCGTCGTTATATCACAGCAAACCATTTGTACGTGTGTGTGAGTGTGTGTGAGTGTGTGTGTGTCGTGGGGATAACCACATGGGGCTTTCTCACGTTCTGTTTACAGCTGTGAATGGTTCCAGACACTGGGGCCCTCTGACCTTTACACTAGGACCACTGGGAGGATGGGAGGGGGAGGGAGGGAGTTTATGGTGTGAGAGACGATCAGGGGGGGAGAATACAGCGATGAGGGCGTATTGTCTACAAACTATCCTGCGCACAGTCTAGCCAACAACTGTAATGGAAATATAATGTCATATCGTCAGAGATGGCAAAAGTAAACACATCCTTTACTCAAGTAGAACTACAGATACTCGTGTTTAAAAATACTCTGGTAAAAGTAGAAGTACTGACTAAACTTCTTCACTCAAGTCAAAGTAAAGAGGGCTTTGAAATGTACTTGAGTAAAAAGTACCCATAACTAGCAGCTGTTTTAAAGAGTACCTGACCTCCCTTTATATTAATAGAACAATAATGTCATTGTTAGCTAATGAATGTTTCCATGCTGAACAACGGCAACATGACAACGTTTTCATTGGTCCCTCTTCTTTAGAGAAGACCAGGAAATGATGGATACACGGATCGTGTTCAAATCAATAGGCACGCAATGACTCTAAATAATAATGATCACGCCACCAAACACACATTCAAACTAAAGGAACCAGCCTGTTTGGAAAATGTGAGAAGTAGAAAGTACAGGTATTTGTGTTCAACATGTAAGAAGTAGAAAGTACAGGTATTTGTGTTCAACATGTAAGAAGTAGAAAGTACAGGTATTTGTGTTCAAAATGTAAGAAGTAGAAAGTACAGGTATTTGAGTTCAACATGTAAGAAGTAGAAAGTACAGGTATTTGTGTTCAAAATGTAAGAAGTAGAAAGTACAGGTATTTGTGTTCAACATGTAAGAAGTAGAAAGTTCAGGTATTAGTGTTCAAAATGTAAGAAGTAGAAAGTACAGGTATTTGTGTTCAACATGTAAGAAGTAGAAAGTACAGGTATTTGTGTTCAACATGTGAGAAGTAGAAAGTACAGGTATTTGGGTTCAAAATGTAAGAAGTAGAAAGTACAGGTATTTGTGTTCAACATGTAAGAAGTAGAAAGTACAGGTATTTGTGTTCAAAATGTAAGAAGTAGAAAGTACAGGTATTTGTGTTCAAAATGTAAGAAGTAGAAAGTACAGGTATTTGTGTTCAAAATGTAAGAAGTAGAAAGTACAGGTATTTGTGTTCAAAATGTAAGAAGTAGAAAGTACAGGTATTTGTGTTCAAAATGTAAGAAGTAGAAAGTAAAAAGTCGTCACAAAAATAAGTAGTGGAGTAAAGTACTGATACCAGAAACATGTACTTAATTACATTAACAAAGTATTTGTACTCCACTACTTCCCACCTCTGCATATCGTCAGGGTTTTAGTCATATTACATTTCCTCATAGCAGTAGTTAAGGTTTGTAATACATACGTTTGTAAAAACATCACGTCACTCAACTTTAGGGGTTTGAAAATAAATACAAATCAGAAATTTGTTATGATAGTTACACCCAATTGAATCAAATATAACGTCAACCTCTATGGTTTGATTCTGGCCTTTTTTGATACACCTCTCTCCATCATTTCTACACTATCTTTGCCACATAAAGTTGAACATACCCACCAAAAATAACAACAAAATAATTGCTTTTGTCATTTTTCTTTTACATGCTGTAAATGTTACGTGACTACTGAGAAAAAGTTCAAGAAATTATGAATGGAGGACACTTTTCTGTATCGTTGTGCACGGTCACTAATTTGATTTCAACGTTTTAAAAGACCAGTTGTACTAAAATCTTTAAATGATAGCAGAAAGAAGTTGTATAAACAACATTAGTACCTTGAAATTAGATATAGTGCAAGTATTGTGTACATGATTGCTGTTTTAGAGGTACTTCCGCTAAAACACAGCTGTGAGATTGAACCAGAAGTAGTAGTGGCAGTAAAGCCAAAACAATCCGCTCAGAAGATGCTAAAAAGTACAGAGAGGACTGAGTCAAATAAAACATTTCTGGGGTTTTGAATCCATAAAGAAAACATTAATTTTACAACCAGTAGATACAGGTCAATGAGAGATGCTGTAAAAATAGAATAGTGCATAATGCATTGAGTTGACTGTCTCTACGTACCGGGACAGCTGCCATCAGCGTGGGCTGCAGGACGCTGGTGTCTCCTTTACTGCCTTTCTTGATCTTGGATGACTTTGGATGGGGAGAAAAAGCAACAAATAATTAGAAATTATTTGGTTTACTTGCAAAAAGACGCAAAGAAAATCAGACAATATATTCAGATTGAGAGACTGAAACCAGGACCTGCTGCAAGCTGTCATTTCCCTTCTTACAGTATAACACCCATTGAATGTCTCATTAGACTATGAACTATCTTTTTATACGTATACAACATGTCTTTCTGTCGACAAAAAACAAGTTATGGGTTAGTAGCTTGAAGATGAAAGTTTAGTACAAATACCAATTATGTGCAATATTTAGATATGCCGTTAATAACTGTGCAATATATACCTGGCTGCTAAATCCTCAGAACTGTTACAGGATGTATGTTTTGTAAATTGTGTAATTTTTTAATCTTTAATATTGTTTTAATGCATGCTTCTTAGTTAACATTAAGCTGTCTTTGGCTCTTTTCTTTGGCTCTCTAAAAGTGAACTTGATTGATGCATTTAACATTGTATTATAGCAAGAAAGAAACACAACCCTAACCTGGTCAGAGAGGGTCTGAGGCGACGAGTATCCGATCCGGCACCCGTGAGCCATGCCCACCAACTCTGCACTGAGCTCCAGAACATGAGCCAGAGGCAGGTAGCCGATGTAGGTGTCCTCCTCACTGTGACACACACACACACACACACACACACACACACACACACACACACACACACACACACACACACACACACACACACACACACACACACACACACACACACACACACACACACACACACACACACACACACACACACACACACACACACACACACACACACACACACACACGGTTATTCATGAATGAAAGCACTTCCAAGTTGTGCTAGATTTCTGCTAATGTAAACGTTAGGGCTGCACAATACTGGGCAAAAATGAAATTGGAATATTTGTTGGTACATTTATTGCAAAATCTAAATAGTGGTTCACTTTCAGAACTAAATTATGAGGCTAGATAACGCTTTGCCCTTAATCATAATAACAATGTTTTTTTTGGAATAAGAACATCTATCCTTTCCTTTGCTTTGACCTTAAATCTAATGTTATACAGGCGTTTCTGGATCCTCCAACATATGCTTTCCCATTATATATCATCTTATATCTCGATGATGAATATGTATATTTTGATAAAGCATGTGACTTATAAGTTAATAAATAGTCTACATCAGGGGTGTCAAACTCAATTTCATCTCGGGCCACATTAGCATCATGGTTGCACTCAAAGGGCCAGTTTTATATATAAGACTATATAAAAATACATATATAAATATTTAATATATATAAAATAATGTATTATATTACATTATTGCCTCTGCATTGGATTATTATCTGATAGGGGAATAACTTCATCATTAACTACGTCTGAAAGCAGAAGTCGAGGGCAAATAATTGCAAGTCTCTTCAGTGAGAATGTCACAAAATGATTTAAAAAGAAAAGCCAAATTCTGGAAAAAAAGTCAAAATAAAATTAAAATAAATGACATTTTGAAAAAAAAAGTAACATTTTGAAAAAAATGTCAAATTCTAAGAAAAAAATAATATTTTGAAGAAAAATAGTAAAATTCTGAGAAAAAAGGCAAATTTGAGATGCATTGTGGGACATGTAGTTTATGGGCAGCGTGCTTCTGTAAATCGGCATGTAACCGTATAATATACATATTATATTCTTTGCAAGCTCTTATGGGGCCACAGAAAATGAAGCCACGGGCCGGATTTGGCCCCCGGGCCTTGAGTTTGACACCCCTGCTCTACATGAAATAAACAAATGGTAAAGCCAATTGAATTTGCTCCTGTTTGAATTAAATACTGTTTAAAGTACATTCATAGAAAAATATTTATAAATATCTCAAAGATAAAAACCTTTTCAAACAAAAACTGCATCTTAAAAAAAATCTAAATCCCTCACTAAAGTTACGATTTTATAAGAAATGTAGGATTATACGTGCTTATTATTGTGAATTTTGACGACATAATTGTGTTTATACGATATATAATTCAATCACAATAGGATTAAAGTGAATAACTATAAGGATTATATTGAATAATCATCCCTACTTTCAGTAGACGTGTCTGCTCTTCAGTGCGTACATGAGGAGGTTTGATATGACTTCATACAGCCATAATTATTCTCAGAAATCTGATTGCTATCCTAAACCCTTTAACCTCCATTTTTCTCACCCCCTCTCGTACTGAACTCCCTAATCGTTCCTTCTGCACATCCTCCCTCCCCCGCCCCGCTCCCCAGAGAGAAGAGGCGCTTTCTGTTTTAATGTAAACATGCGTGTTGTGTGATGGAGAAATCTGCCTGACACTCTGCACGTGCTCAGCCTGAGAGAGCATTTATTATCTTCCTTCAAAAACACTGTGTAGACCTCGAGAGGCAGTGACAGCAGACTTCAGTGAAAGAGGAGAGTTTAATACAGGAGGGAGGGGAGATAATGTCTTCACTGTGATGATATAATACATTTTAAACTGCTCAAAACAAGAGTTATGTCACATGTTGTAAAGGTAGAAAGGGTTCCTCCCCGGCAGTCAAACGGCTTGAATCGGTTTTGGTTAAAGGAATAGTTGAACGTTATTTGGAAACACCCTTTTTCTCAGTATCACCATGAGTTAGAGGACAAGATTAATGCCTGAATATGAAGAGACAGTCAGCTGCTAGTTAGCTTAGCTTAGCATTAAGACTGGGAAGAGTGGAAAACAGCCTTGCCTAGCTCTAGAATTCACAGCCACTGCTCAAATGTTAAATATTGAGACACACAGCCATACATTAACTCTACCTAAAAAAACACATTTGATTAGCTGACGCATTTATGTCTAAGACGCAAGTGTCTTACAATAGGTGCAACTAACCATGAGCATAACAACTCAGAACAGCAAGAAACCTGCAAGTTCAAGACGCCAAAACGTTTGAACTACTACAACATTTTTGGTGTGTGTGTGTGTGTGTGTGTGTGTGTGTGTGTGTGTGTGTGTATGTGTGTGTGTGTGTGTGTGTGTGTGTGTAGTGGCGGACTGGCCCACTTCAGTACCGGCCCATCGGGAACTTCCGGTCGGATAAGTCACACAACACATCTAGTTTCAAATGTCTTATTACACCAAAAGGTCTCTGATACCATATTGTTCAAGCTTGTAATACTCCAGTTTCACTACATTATATCATCACCTCTCATGCATGTATCCCATATTTTCTGTAAGTTTGTATTTCTTACTTCAGGTTGGGTATTCGCTCGGCCATCCCAGTGAGGCCGGCGATGATGTTGCTATGGGAGATAATGACTCCTTTGGGGATGCCCGTGGAGCCGCTGGTGTACATGATGACGGCGATATCTGAGGCCAGCGGAGGATTACGATCCCGAGAAGCTGTGATGTGAGAACACACAAAGACACACATTTAAGCTCTAACTTTTGGTCATACCTCCAAAAAGATGTTCACATGTGGTCCTAATCGTCTCCTTTGGAATCGTCTTCCATTTCAGATCCGCGAAGCTATTTCCGTTGACTGAAAACCCATCTCTTCGCATCTGTCTTCCTTGTAAACTAATATGCATCACCTAGTTTCCATCTACATTAGCATCACTTCAGTCACATGCTTTTATCACATGGCAATACTCATGTTGATGTATAATGGTTTTATAATTGTTATGCTATGACGTTTGTTTTGTCTTTGCTTTGTGCAGCCCTTTGAGGCATTTCTTGTGATTTGGGGCTATAATACATTTGGATTTGATTTGACTTGTATGCTTACGCAACCCAGTCTCACGGCATTTCGTGTTATTAGTCACGAAATTAATTTAATCTATTGATTCGTGTTCACCAACACGATTTCCCCCTTTTTTTCGTGTCACACAGAACGATTTTAAATGCAATGTATTTCTATTGGTAGTATGTTTCGTGCCTGCAACACGTATTTTTGTCCGGTCGGGTCTTGGAATACCAGAAGCTGTGTGGTTCATAAAAACATGTTCTTACTCAATATCTTACCCTAAGCCTAACCCTATCCCTTTTATTTTAAATTGTATAATGTCTGAGTTTTTTTCCCGTCAGTGAGGAAAAGAAATGGCTCAGAGCCTCAAAATACTGACATCTGTATTTTATGTCATCTTTTTTTCCTTCTAATTTGTTATTATTTGGTGCAGGCACGAAACATACTACCAATATAAATACATTGCTTCTAAAATCGTTCTGTGTCAGAATACTTAAATCTGTATTTTTTTAAATGTCTTTTTCCTTCTAATTTGTTATTATTTACATTGCTTTTAAAATCGTTCTGTGTGACACGAAAAAAATGGCGAAATCGTGTTGGTGAACACGAATCAATAGATTAATTTCGTGACTATAACATGAAATGCCGTGAGACTGTGTTGGCTTACGCTCTCTCAATGCTGTGATGTGAGAACACCAAAACACACTCATGTGAGCTCAAACTTTTGGTCATATCTCCAAAAAGATGTTCACATGGGGCCCTAAACGTCTTCTGTACGTAATGCCTTATGACTCAAAAATACTGTTTCCCTATTGACCTTCATTGGGAAGCTTTTACTCTTATTTTCCTATTGTTTTTTTGTCTTGTCTCATCAAATTGGTTTAAAATGCTAGGTTCAGGGAATCTAAAAATTAAAGGGAAGTTTCTGGAAAAGGTCTCGGAGAAGCTTTAATATGAAGGTTTATTCATGTATTTTACACCTGTGTAATTCATGTTTATTTTATCATCTTTGCTTTTTAATAACTATAATGTAACGTGTTCCTGCTGCACTATTTCTTAATGCTCTTAATGTCTTTTATTTTTGTAAAGCACCTTGTGTTGAACGGGGCTGTATAAATGAACTGGCCTTGCCGTTTCTCGAAACAAAACAGTGCATAACTTTAAGACAGCGTTATGATCCCTCTCTGGGGAATACACAAGCAGAGATAACATTAGTTTTAAAGGGGGAAACATGACATTGCATTTAGCTGAAGCTTTTGTCCAAAGCGACCAACAATAACTGCAATAAACCATAAGGATTCAGACTGTGTGCTTATTCACTTTTAAACAAGAAAGCCCAGTGTTATTGATAAGATAAGATAAGAGGTACTTTATTGATCCCAAATTGGAAAATATTTGCGTTGCAGCAGCATGAAAAACGAGGCATTGCACAATGGTAGAAATTAAAGAGTAGAGAAATAAACGCCACTAGAACTTCTCAAAATAGAATTAACACAGCATTACAAAGTAGAAAACTGCTGAAACAAAACAAATTGTTGTTGTGCTAAGCTAACAGCGTAATCACTCTTAAGATCACGAACAAAAACAAAGCTGAGAATGGAAGAAGGGAGGACAGAAGACGAGGGCCTCTCTTCTTCCTCTTCCTCCTCTTCCTCGGCGTGTTGGAGTGTGAGAGTTGATGTCATGAGAAGTTATGAACTTCCTTTCTCTCTTCACTCCACCAGCAGCCTCTCTTGTTTTGGGTCAGTCAGTTCAAGGGGCCACGAAGAAAAAGACGAAGAGATGCCGGAGACTTTTCCTCCTCCATTCACTCCTCTAACTGAATAAGCATCGTATCGACCTTAATCTGACACAGATGTGAGCACTTCCTCATTCTCATGACCTAATGGGACTGATACCAATCCCCCTCCCAAGTAAAAAACAAAAACACCAAGACGAACCCATTTGAAGGGGCCGTTTCTGACCTCTAAAATAACAAAACAATGTACAGTATATACAGTTTGTAACACATTGCTGTAAGTGGAGCTGCATAATTCATCAAATTGTATCAAAATCACAATATGTACCAGTGCAATATCCAAATTACAGTAAGGGCAATATTTGTTAAAAGCAAGTAGTCATGTGTAGATGCAAACTACCAAAGGGATTTCATTATTTAAAACACATTTCAAAGTGCTTTATTAGGGTTTTAAACCCAAAGTGTGTGCCAGTCTATTGTTAGGGTTAGGGTTAGGGTTGGTGGTGCCAAAGCCAATGGGATCTTTCTATTGAATTTTTGAATATTTCATAAAAATAAGCTCTGTTGCAAACACACATTTATAATACCTACGTTTTTTCAGCAGGAAAATATTCACGCCACTTTATGATTTTTAAAGCGTAAATGCAATCTCCAGAAGTGAAAAGCTAATGTTGGGCTATAAAGGAACTACAGCACGGTCACAGGACTTCATGTCCAACACAGTCTCACGGCATTTCATGTTATAGTCACGAAATTAATCTATTGATTCGTGTTCACCAACACGATTTCGCCATTTTTTTCGTGTCACACAGAACGATTTTAAAAGCAATGTAAATAATAACAAATTAGAAGGAAAAAGACATTTCAAAAAATACAGATTTAAGTATTCTGACACAGAACGATTTTAGAAGCAATGTATTTATATTACATAAAATACAGATTTCAGTATTCTGAGGCTCTGAGCCATTTCTTTTCCTCACTGACGGCAAAAACACTCAGACATTATACAATTTAAAATAAAAGGGATAGGGTTAGGCTTAGGGTAAGATATTGAGTAAGAACATGTTTTTATGAACCACACAGCTTCTGGTCTTCCAAGACCCTACCGGACAAAAAGACGTGTTGCAGGCACGAAACATACTACCAATAGAAATACATTGCATTTAAAATCGTTCTGTGTGACACGAAAAAAAGGTGAAAATCGTGTTGGTGAACACGAATCAATAGATTAAATTTATTTCATGACTAATAACACGAAATGCCGTGAGACTGGGTTGTCATGTCACCACCGCTAAGCTAAAGGTGGCTAATGTTGGGCTATAAAGGAACTACAGCACGGTCACATGACTTCACGTCACCACCGCTAAGCTAAAGGAGGCTAATGTTAGGCTATAAAGGAACTACAGCACGGTCACATGACTTCATGTCACCACTGCTAAGCTAAAGGTGGCTAACGTTGGGCTATAAAGGAACTACAGCACGGTCACATGACTTCACGTCACCACCGCTAAGCTAAAGGTGGCTAATGTTGGGCTATAAAGGAACTACAGCACGGTCACATGACTTCACGTCACCACCGCTAAGCTAAAGGTGGCTAATGTTGGGCTATAAAGGAACTACAGCACGGTCACATGACTTCACGTCACCACCGCTAAGCTAAAGGTGGCTAACGTTGGGCTATAAAGGAACTACAGCATGGTCACATGACTTCACGTCACCACCGCTAAGCTAAAGGTGGCTAATGTTGGGAGTGATGACTTGGTCTCATTGGTGTTCAGTTAGGCAACGCTGTTTTTATGACACACTTTAGACATTCACCAGTGGGGTATTTACGGATGGATTTAATGTTGGCTAGATGAGCTCAAATTAATAATATTTATTTGTGCATATGAAACTTACCGTTCTCCGGCCGGGCCCCCAGCTCCTGAACGGCAGCCATGTTGTGGACGCTGATGCCGCGAGGATATCCGGGCCATGAGGAGGGGGAGTCGTCCACCACGATGATGTGCTGCAGCTGGGGAACCTCAATCAGGATGGCCTGACACACGTAATGATAAAAACCAGGTCCCTTCTTAGACGTATAACTAAAAACCCATGTACATCATCTCCGTGTGTGTGTGTGTGTGTGTGTGTGTGTGTGTGTGTGTGTGTGTGTGTGTGTGTGTGTGTTGTGTGTGTGTGTGTGTGTGTGTGTGTGTGTGTGTGTGTATGTGTGTGTGTGTGTGTGTGTGTGTGTGTGTGTGTGTGTGCTGAGAGGAGTGTGTTTATGCCACTATGATCAAAGTGGAGGTGAATGTTAGAGCATCATTTGTCTTCGTCTTTAATAAACCTGTCCAGATCGCTCCTTAAAATCCAACATGAACACTTTATTTGTATTTCTCTATGGTGACACGCTCCGCCTCTCTTTCTCTCTGACGGAAGACAGTGGTCAGCAGTTGTCTTCACATGTGATGACCTCAACTTAGATTACTTTGCTTTTGATTTGCAGGAGTATTTTGTAGACTGAGACAAAGGGGCCTGTATGTCAAAATGTAATATGTTGTTATATATACTAGGTTATCTTTTTAACCTTCAAGCTCAAATCTTTGCCACTTCCCATCTAAGGCCGTATATAAAAGGATATGTTACATTTTCCTTACTAAGCAAACTTTTTCATCATGCCTTTTTGAGGACAAGACCATTTTGGGTCTATTGCTGTTAAGTTGTTGAACTTCAAATGCACATTTATTTAACACTGTTATTGTCTGTGTTGTCTCGGTCTATGGTGACTGAATACATAGATCATCAAATATCTAAACCTTATAATAAAAAAAAAAACACTTGAGAAATGCATGAGAAAAAATAGTTTTAGTGCACTTAAGAACAGCATTCATCCCTAGACCGCTTCTTATTTTTAAAAAGGACATTTGTAAACAAACATTTATACAAATATATGTTAGTGTAGTGGCCTTCTCTTGAGTTGGCTGAAAGGCCTCGGTTAATTATCTCCAAAAAGCATTACAGTATCTGCCCAAAATTCTGTCTGCTAATACTGAATACTGCTTTTAATGAATGCTGTATTTCCTATAATGGTTAAATGTGTGAGAACAGATTATGAGTATTAATCAGTGTGTTTGTGTGTGTGTGTGTGTGTGTGTGCGTGTGTGTGTGTGTGTATTCTGACCTTGAGTCTGGTCTCCAGGAGCTCCTTGGAGGTGAAGATGTGGGTCACATGAGTCTCATTCAGCCCGTGAGCAATGGCCGCACCCCCCAGTGTGGAGTAAATGGTGACCACTGCAACACACACACACACACACACACACACACACACACACACACACACACACACACACACACACACACACACACACACACACACACACACACACACACACACACACACACACACACACACACACACACACATCAAAGAATACGTTATTACAAGTATTCCACTGGCCCTGTTCCCTCAGTATATTTACACACCAGTTCTCGACGTAATCTAACAGCCTCTGCTGACTGTAATGTAGAGTTAGTACATTACATTACATTACATGTTACTTGTTAGATGCTTTTATCCAAAGCGACTTACATACTCAATACTGTGGACAATCCCCACAGGAGCAGTTTGGGGTGAAGTGTCTTGCCCAGGGACCCAACGCCATGCTGACTGCAGTGGGGTTTGAACCTGTGACCCCCTGATCCGAACACCAAGGCTCTATCCATCAGTACACATTATTATACATTATAAGGTAAACTAAAGAAATGCTGACCAAGTCCAAGTCACTTTAAGACAATGGCCTCTAGAAAATGATGTTTAAAATAATACAAAAGTAAAAAAAAAGTCAATACATTTACAACAATTACAAGTAATAGACTGACTGAGGAACAAACTGAACGAGAAGTAAAGGAAGGTAACGGGAGGATGGATGGAAACAAAATAGAAGGAAAGAAAGACCACGGAGGGTCTATAACCCCTCGTCCTCATACTGCAGCACACACACACACACACACACACACACACACACACACACACACACACACACACACACACACACACACACACACACACACACACACACACACACACACACACACACACACACACACACACACACACACACACACACACACACACACACACACACACACACACACACACACGCTTCAGTTTATGGGACCGGGCTTAGTGACTTCACATTACTGCGTCATGGAGCTGCAACACTTCCTGCTCTGACGCTCTGACACTGTGTGTGTGTGTGTGTGTGTGTGTGTGTGTGTGTGTGTGTGTGTGTGTGTGTGTGTGTGTGTGTGTGACACAGTGAGGAGGACACCTACATCGGCTACCTGCCTCTGGCTCATGTTCTGGAGCTCAGTGCAGAGTTGGTGGGCATGGCTCACGGGTGCCGGATCGGATACTCGTCGCCTCAGACACAGTGTGTGTGTGTGTGTGTGTGTGTGTGTGTGTGTGTGTGTGAGGGCCATGACACCTCCAGCGTGAGATCTAAACACCAGATAGGGTTCCAGCTTCAAAACACATGCACACACATGCTCACACATGCTCACACATGCACACACATGCACACACATGCTCACACATGCTCACACATGCACACACATACACACACACACATGCTCACAAACTAAAATACATTTTAATACAGAAGATTTCCCGCTAAGGCTGCATAAAATGTTTTGAATCATCATTTTATTGTGTGTTGACTTTTCAAGATGAAGGTCAAGGAAACCACATTTTTGTGTCAGCTATACATGCTATATAAGTGGTTTCTTTCTGTTGCTTTCAATGTAAGACTGGACAGAATAAAAGAATAACCTGCTTGTTTAATAAAAAAAAAAAGGAAAATCTCTTCTGCAATCTTTTCTGTCGAACACATTGAACCAACTCAAAATCCCTGTATGCAGCATTGCAATCTTTTGCGAGTTGTGTTTCTTGTGCAAGTTGAAATGGGCATGACACAATGAAGAGTGCAAAAAGAAAGGTGTGACAATAAAAAGGGGAGAAAAAAAACAATGAATTAAGGTCATTTTAAAGGTTTCTAACACTGGGGACAAGTGCACAGAACTCTCAAATGATAATAATAATAATAATAATAATAATAATAATAATATTAAAGCTGCAAGCAGCGTTGAGCGGGTCTTCGACGCTCCGCAGGCTGTTGTCCGCACGTCGAGGCGTGTGTCTAGGTGTCTCGAGGACTCGAACGTTGGCAAACGTGGAAAGTTTCAGGCCGATCGGACAACGTACATGGGATTTACAGCAGTATCATAAACATTGTGCTTGATGGCGAGTGATCTGTCGCCATGGCAACGGCATTTGATGACACCCCATAATATGCCTAGATGTGTTGAGGGCTGCATCGTTATCAAACCTGTGAAGTTCTGGGCCGTTTGGACCATGTTAACTGGAGTTATGAGAAAACCGTGTTTCACGGCGACCATTTTGTTACCATGGCAACGGCATTTGACGAAATCTCAAAACTGACACATATATGTCTTTAGGGCTGTACCGTTAGCACACATGTAAAGTTTGAACACTTTTTTACCATTTACACAGGAGTTATAGCAATATCATGCTTAACAGCGAGGGATGCGTTGCCATGGCAACAGCTTTAGAGGAAAACTCACTATTGTCATATTGAGGTGTTGAGGGCCGGACTAGTAGCCATCATCTGAAGTCTGGTGCAGTTTGGATCATTTTCCATTGACTTAAGACCAGTGGCGTCGCCTGGCCTGGGCATCCGGGGCTTTAGCCCCGAATGTTTTTTCTCTAGCCCCGGACAATTCTCCCTCAATAATATAATACATTAACCGTGCTTTACGTGAACCTCATCATGACACAAGAGAGGACGGCAGCACTGTAATTTCCCGTGTTCAGTGAATGCAACAGAGGCATGACACCAGACCAATCAGAGAGTTGCATGGAAATAAACGTGTGCTTGTGTCATTCAAGCTCGGCTCTGTGTGTGTGTGGCAATAGCGCATTTAGTGTGAGAGAGAGAGAGAGAGAGAGAGAGAGGGGGAGGGGGGGACCGGTGCCAGCATGGGCCGTGTTGTTAGCATCTGGTTTGCTAGCTGCACTAATGGACATAAGGAGCTGTTTCCACAAGAAGCTGGAGGAGAGTCCTCTCCTCTCAGATTGAGAGACTCAGGTGAGCTAAAGGACTCTCTGAGTGTTTAGATACATAACTTTAGTCTAAGTTATCTCAGTGGGTCTCAAACGGTTTGGTCACAAATTATTCAAAAGATTATTTCCGCGGCACACCTTCATATGATCATTATAGTTATGAAAAAAATAAGAGAATAAAGGAAAAACAGTTATGAAATACTATATGGCAGTAAAACAAGAATAGAGTTTAAAAGGGGAGTGATTAGTAAAATATCCATAAAGAAAAAGTACATCTGTTTACAGTTCAGCTTCATATGGGTGTTGAGAGAGGTATCCATAGATCTCTTCATTTTGCTCTCAAAGTCCACCAGATTGATGCATTTAACTTCAATATTTAAAAAAAAATCTTCCCGGGGGAGCATCCCCCCGGACCCCCCTAGAGGAGGTGAGCCCCCCACTCATAAAAAATACCACTTTACCCCTGCCTATATGCCGTGAGCTGATTATCGAGCCTTCATTGTAACAGTCGCGGGTGTACTGTGTGTGTGTGCGTCTGGGGAGTGTTGTAGTAGAATATTCCACTGTAGTGCCGCCGCCACTGTGGGCTAAGCCCCGAATGTTTTCAGGTCCAGGCGACGCCCCTGCTTAAGACAACATTGTGTTTTTTGGCGAGGGATGCGTTGCCATGGAAACGGCATAAGATGACATCCCATAATTGGCGTAGAGCTGTTGAGGGCCGGACCATTAGCCATCATCTGATGTCTGGTGCCGTTTGGACGTTTTTCCAGTGAGTTAGGACAACACAGTGTTTCATGGCGAGGGATCTGTCGCCATGGCTACGGCATATGATGACATCCCATAATTGGCGTAGAGCTGTTCAGGGCTAGGGTTAAGGACAAAGGAGCCTCATTCACTTTACATTGGGGTTGTTTGCGTGGTGCAGACACGTAAATGTAGCAAAGTTCGTGACTCCACCACGCACTGCGGTGTTAAGGAGTCGTGGTGGAGTCACGCATTCTGGTGAGACCAGGTTGGTCTTGCCACATGGCCTTCCCTTGCATAATCTCAAATATTTTGTATTTGTATTTAAGCTACCAACGTGTAACAGAACCATGTCATGTTTGTTGTTCTCTGACACAAAACATCATGTTGAATCAGTCAAAAACAAGATCATTGCCATTGGCATGATGACTTCTGGTTTGGAACACAAAGTTCTGTAAGTAAGTTTCACTTCTTTTGGCTGCTAAACCTTAACTTGTTTTTCACTTATCATCTTGTGTAATCTTTATCTTGTGTTATTTCAAGCTTTTAATTCAGATTGACATGTATGGTATGGGTGTTAGTGTCCCAACAATTCTGTATCTTGTGTAAGTGTATCTGATTATTGCAACACAGCAGCTGCAAGAGAACTATCGATTTTTAGCCGTGTGATTCCATGGATTGTTTATTTTGTTATAACAAAGGTTAAATGTTTCTCAGCAGAAAGTTAACCATCCAGTTCAGCAGTTGATATGGGAGCACCAAAAACTGAAGTTCAGGAAAGAGCCAACGCAAAATTCTTCTCCGCTTATGTCTTCTGCTTTAATTCCCCACAGCTTCCAATAAATGGTTAAAAAAGTTGTTTAGAATGAGTATGATGCTTTAAACCAAAGTGTTAATGACTGAAAACCCTGGTTAACATTCAGTCATGTGATTTTTTTTTTAAAACAAACAGTTATCAGAATCAGAATATAATTATCATACCAGTATATGCACTTGGCTACCAAAACATGAATAGAGTGTGGTTAAAGTATGTGTGTGATGTCATGTCAATAACAACAGAGTGAAAAGGGTCAGGGTTGGGACAAATGTAATTTCCCCTTGTGGATTTATAAAGTATTTCTTAAATCTTTAGTCTTAATCCTAAACAATTGAAAACTCTTTGCTAAGGAAAGGTAGGGAAAGCTTGTGTTCAAATATTCAAAAAGGTCAAGGAGAAAAATGAGCCGTCACAATACTGCAGATAGCTGCATGTCCAAAGAAAGTTGCCATTGAACAAAAAGTAAATAAATAATTAAATTACGATGGTTTGTGTTGTTATAGTACTCAGATCCTTGACTTACTGTGATTAAAAGTATCAAACATCAATGCAAAGATACTTTTTTTAATGAGTAATATGAGCAATTAT